AAAACTTTCCTGGCATTATTATAAATTTTTATTTTTGGGGCTGGGGTTGTGGCTCAGTGGTAGAGCACTTGCCTCAAATGCATGAGGCATTAGGTTCGATCCTCAGCACCACATAAAAATAAATAAAGATATTGCATCCATATACAACTAAAAAAAWTTTAAAAAAATWAAAAAATTTWAAAAAAATAAATTTTAACACATGGGTAGGTTTATACATCTAGATTTTTTAAAACTTCCTTTGTTTATGATTCCAAAAAGAAAAAATTTAGTGCCATACTTTTACATCTTTGATATTCATTCATTCTATTGAATGAATATGTTCAGCATTAATATGTTAATAAGTGTTGGGCATTGTTCCATACACAGAGAATCTGAAGGTGATAAACCAATTGTACTCACAGAGCTTACAGTGAGTGTAGTAAGGAAAACAATAAATAAAAAATAACGTAAGAGTTATGTTATGCTATGAAGAACAGTAAGGTGGGGCAAGAGAATAGGAAGGACAGGAGACAGCTCTTGGRTAGGATGGCCAGTAGACCTCTCTGAGGAGATAACATCTAAGGCAGAAGTGGAAGGGACTAAGAGGGAGCCCCCTGAGTATTTGAAGGAAAAGCTCTCCAAGGAGAGGAGTAGCTGGCAGCAAAGCCTCAGAATGACCATGTGTCCACAGGCTCACTCAATTCTACATTAAAAGGATTACTGAAAAAGTTACTTTTGGAATGGGCACAGTGGTGCATGCTTGTAATCCCAGTGGCTTGGGAAGCTGAGGCAGGAGGATCATGAGTTCAAAGGCAGCCTTAGCAACTTAGTGAGGCCTTGTCTCAAAATGAATTAAAAATGGGCTGGGGAGGTGGCTCAGTGGTTGAATCTCCCTGAGTTCAATCCCTGGTACACCCCCCCATTTCATATTTTTGATATGAAAGTATTTTAAAATCTCAAGCTATTTTTTGAGAAGGCTTTCAAAACTCCAAATATAATATATTTTTATTTTACTTAATTTTTTTATAATTTAATAGTAAGTCTCCAATAAATAATAGGAAACATTAGGGTTGGGGTAACATAAGCTATATGTTTACTAAAATAATACCAGTATAATTTGTAAATAACCTCACATCATAAAAGATAACTTTTAGAAAAAAAAAGAGAACTAAAGTAGTTGTCACAGCTCCAACTTCTAGAAAGAAAAGGAAATGGGTTGGTACTCACTAATTATCACATATTGTCAAAATAGCTTATTGATTGCTAAATAAAGCTGAAAAACTTCAAAATGTAACACAGTCAACAGTCAATACTTAACTAAGTTATATTTAAGGGTACCAGTGAAATGGTTGTTGTGAGTCAAAATGTGGAGTGATAAATGAGCATGGTTTTATTTGTGAACAAGAGACAAAAACATTTTCACCTTGCTACCTAAGCTTCTCTGAGAACAAACAAAAYTTCAACGGGGCCTATAAATACTACACAATAATAAACAGCTATGGCAGCTGATCTTTCCGTTCATAAAAACATGATGGACCAAGGTCTTCAAGGAAATGCCTACTTTTCCTAGATTATAATTTGGATTGTCAAGACTCATTATCCCCTAAATAAAAATTTTATGATGCCTTCAGGCTGGTGCTGTGGCCTAGCATGTTCGAGGCACTGSGTTTGATAGTCAGCACCACATAAAAATAAGTAAATAAAATAAAGGTATTGTGTTCAACTACAACTAAAAAAAAATTAAATTAAATTAAATTAAAATTTTATGATGCYTCCTTATCTGAAAATATCATCTACTACAACATTTCTTCCCACTTATTCCTATCTTCTGCATCTTTTAAGTTCTCATCCATTTCTTCCCAAATCTCTTGAAAGAATTATTTTTCCATCCCTAAGCATTATATAATTTGAACTATATTTATAAGAAACAAAAAGCAAGCAAAAGGAAATGACATATTAAACTGATACCATAAAAAAAAGATTAAAAAAAATGAGGGCTCCTTACCTTTAACTCGTTCTATTACTTTTGGTCTCTGTGGTTTGGACTTAGGAGATGGAGAATTAAATCTGAGATATGGTCCTTTTTTAAGAGTGCTACGATGACCCTGATAAACAGGTTTTCCATATATTTGTAACATATAATCATCATCTTGTATCACTGTGGTTGATTTTAAATGCCCCTATGAATATAAAATTATTAAAGTCAGAAAAAAGTAGACATCAAACGCCTCATTTTTCTAGAGCCTCCTTTTGCTAGCTCAAGCCCTATAATAAGAATACAGGTCAGAAAAATCCTGTATTTTAAATAGCTCTTAAACTCTGGATGAAATTTTCAAATGTACGTTTTAAAAAGCACAAAATTTAAATATRCATTTCATCTACCTAAGAAACACAAAAATTCTTACCATAACTAATATATCTTCAGCACCAAAAATAAATGTTTAAATACATTTTACATATTTGTTATATTCAATATATATACCAGTACAATAAAATACAACAAACCTAGTCTTCATACATCCCTGACCCCACTTTCAACCATATCTAAATGCCACARAAAGGCAGCATTTATCCAACATTTACTAAGTGGCAAGAACTAGATGCTTTGCTGATCTGCCCAACAAACTACATTTGACTTTAAGAAAATTAAAGCCTAKTTAGAGCACACACAAAAATTCCCACTACAACATCTATTACCATGACTTATACTCACCAAGCACAAAAAGTAAATTTAAAAACAAACYACACAAACACAAAGATGAAACACACTTTTGATATCATCTGGTTTGGGAGCTAGATGATCTCTAGGTAAACCTGCCATGACTTTAATGCTAAGATTCTGAGATCTGAAAAGCTGGGTGTGGTTGCATGGGCCTGTAGTCCCAGCTACTCAGAAGCCAAGGAAGGACAGCTTGAGCTCAGGAGYCTGGTGTCAGTATAGGTAACACAGCAAAACCTACCTTTTAAAAAATATTTAAAAAGTAAGTACGACATCTGAAAAGGAAGGAACAACAAGCAGCTTTTGTATAACACCTTCCACTTTATGAATTCAAAACCTTAAATGTTGATAGTGTAAAGATAGTTTACACTTGTATGGTGCTTTGTATTTTAAAAACATCTTCATGTTTAATTCATTATTCATAAATTCTTTTTATGTATTTTAAAGGAAATAATTATAATGCAGCATTTATGTCACAAAACCAGATTAGGATCTTACTTCTTTTCTTTCTTTCTGTACACCTGAAGCAGGCATGCTTCTCCTCATAGGTGGACTTCTAAAATGTTCCTCTATTTGTTTTTGAGAATGCTGTCTTGGAATTATAGGCCTGTTCACAGTTTTGTCTTTTGTGTTGGTTTTAGTATCTTTACTCATATTCTGAGCTTTCTTGGTCCTTTGATTCTTAAGATCAGATYTCTTTTTTTCATAATCTTTTCTTGCCAATTCATCCTAAGGTAAACAAAATTAAAATTACTTAAACCTACAAAAATAGTAATGCTCTCACACCAGAAATTGTTTGCTGTTATATAGTTTACCAGTTTAAAATGCTTTTAAAAGAAAGAATACTGGCTTACACATGAATTAAAAAAAAAAATCTCTGGAAGAATAAACAAAAAATTAAAATGACTAGTATTTTATGGAGCAAGGGGAATGAGATATAGGGATAGAAGGGTAAATTTTCATTATAAACTTCATTGTTTTTTTTTGTACTGGGGATTGAACCTAGGGGTGCTTTACCAATGAGCTGCATCCACATCCCTTTGTATTTTTTATTTTGAGACAGGGTCTTGCTAAATTGCTTAGGGCCTCACTAAGTTGCTGAGGCTGCTCTCCAACTTGTGATCCTCCTGCTCGGTTCTCCCAAGTCACTGGGATTACAGGAGTGTGCCACTGCACCCAGCAACTTTATTCTTTTTGATGTTTGAACCATAGGAATTTAGTAAATTTAATTTATAATAAAACTAAGATAAATATTTTGCACAGAATTCATAGCAATAGAGGAATATATATTGTCAGTTGGCTACAAAGCCAGAACTAGATTCTGAATCTTTTGACTTTTTTTCTGAGGCATCATATAAATATAATGTAAATATAAATTCTTCATAACTATATTAGAGATATATACTTCAACATAAGAAAGTTTAAAAATGTATTTCCATATTTATTGCTCTAAAAATGGACTGAYACTTTACCTTCTTACCACTATAGGTAAGCACGTAAGTACTTCTTACAGTCAGGAAAAAACCACCTTGCCCTCCAAGATAAAAACATAATAAAACAAACAAAAAACCCCCAGAATATTCTGTCTTGTTCTGCTCTTCCTAATATATATAAAACTTAAATAATTTCCTATTACTGGCCCCCAATAAAAATGACTTCCAGACTTTTCAATGCTGACACTAAAGATATACCATGCCCTCTGTGGATATGAGAAGGTACTGTTTTTCTATCTGGAAGTGACTTCTGTACACTTAGTCATCTTGGAAATTGGAAAAAACTGTCACTTTTAAGTAACTTTGCTATTTTTATGATAGTGAGCCAATGCTTCTAAATATGCTGACTTGAAAACATCTTTGCAAACATAAATCTTTTCTAAATGCTTTTGTTAAATTTTTTATCAAGTTACTCATATTTCTGACCAACAATTTTCCAGATATGAGTCACAGTATAATTTTTAAGATAAAACATTTGTTAAATAAAACTATCCCTGACTGGGGCTGTAGCTCAGTGGTAGGAGTGCTTTCCTAGCATGCATGAGGCACTGGGTTCAATCTTCAGCACCATATAAAAATAAACAAATAAAATAAAGACATTCTGTCCATCTACAACTACAAAAAAAAATAAAATAAAATAAAAAACAAAATTATCACTTCTAAGTAAATACAGTGATAAAGGGAAATAAAGAATTTTCAGTGAACTCAGATGTAAAGAATATTTTGAGAACAAGTATTATAAACTGGAATTAATGCTACATTCTGAAAATTCAACTTAATTTTAAATTTTACCAAAACATACCTGAATTTCTGCCGAAATAGTTTTAATCCACTCATCTACTATCTTTTTGATCCTAATTTTCTCTGATATCTCTCTAAAAAAGAGAAAAASGAATTTTCTTAAATTAATACTTAATGCCCTGAGAACAGGACCTAAATCAAATATCATTCTTAACTAGTTCTAAATCTACTGTGTAGCTCAATCTCTTTCATCTGAAAAGGAAAAACTAATGGTATTTAGTTTTAATTAAATGTTTGAAGGACAAATGTTTGAAAAGAAGTAAAGAARATGTGTTCCAATGATAGAGGGAAATTTTCCATCAATAAAAAGTATTACTGGATCCAAGATGGCGGGCTAGAGGGTGGATGCATTCTGTGTCACTCCATGACCTGGGATTCAAGTAGTGGCAATACTGTTTCTCTGCTAGTTATTAGAGGACTCCCAGCTGCTCTCCCACGCAGGAATCATAGCCACCACTCCCACACAGGAAACCTGGGGGCCGCATGCAGGACCTCCAGCTGCCAGTCCTGTGGGGACCCCCATCTACCTACATAGGACTCCTCCAGTCACTTCTACCTTGGGACACTGCAACCACTGCCATAATCCCCTACACACTGTAGCTTGCACCTGGGGTACTGGACAGGGTCTGGAGACAGCTGCCAGCTACAACACTGCACTCTACAGAGTTGCAACTCTGAACATGTCATCCAATGTCACCACCCCAGCCCAACCTGACCTAAAACCCTATCTCTGAAAGCGGCCACCTCCATCTTGAGATGCCTTTGTCACCATCTTTAGTTGGGATAACTCCCAGCTTGGGACACCGCTGGGACCTAGAAGCAATATCAAGGAGAGGCATTGGAATCCTGCAGGAACGAGATAAGTCTGTAGGGTAAAAACRTAATACCTCAGATCCACAGTGGTAGAAGGGAAGATACATGAACATGAAAAAACCAGGAAAGAAAGTGCCCCAAACAAACCAATTATTATTCTAAACTATTATTAGAATCCATGKTCAGCACAGCAGAAGAAATGACAGAGAAGGAGTTTAGGATATACATAATTTAAATGTTCTATGAATTAAAGGATGATATAAGAGATCAAATACAGGCAACAAAAGATCATTTCGATAAAGAGCTACATAAAAAAATATAGGAAGCAAAAGCTTACTTCAATAAGGAGATAGAGATTCTAGGGGRAAAAAAAAAGAAAAAACAAATCCTTGAAATGAAGAAAACAATAAACCAAATTGAAAACTCAATAGAGGGGCGGGGGTTCTGATTCAGTGGTACAGCGCTTGCCTAGTATGCATGAAGCTGGATTTGATGCCCAGYACCACATACAACAAATAAAACAAAGGTGTTATGTCCATCTACAACGAAAAAAATATTTTAAAAAAACACTCAATAGGAAGAACCCCAACAGATTAGATCACTTGAAAGAYAGAACCTCAGAGAATGAAGACAAAATATATAATCTTCAAAATAAAGTTGACCACACAGTGAAGATGATGAGAAATCTTGAACAGAACATTCAAGAATTCATACCATGGGCTGGGGATGTGGCTCAAGCGGTAGCGCGCTCGCCGGGCATGCGCGGGGCGCTAGGTTCGATCCTCAGCACCACATAAAAAAAATAAAATAAAGATGTTGTGCCCACCGAAAACTAAAAAACAAAAAAAAAAAGAATTCATACCAAATTTAAGGATTATTGGGATACAGGAAAGCATAGAGTTACAAACCAGAGGAATTAACAATCTATTCAATGAAATAATATCAGAAAAATTTCCAAATATGAAGAATGTATTGGAAAGTCAAATATAAGAGACTTACAAGACATCAAATGTACAAAATCACAACAGATCTACAACAGGGCACATTATAATGAAAACAGAGAATAAGGAGAGAATATTAAAAGCCATTAGAAAAAGGAATCAGATTACATATAAGGGCAAACCAATAAGAATCTCTGCAGATTTCTCAATTCATATCCTGAAAGCTAGAAGATCCTGAAATAACATATACCAAGCTCTGAAAGAAAATGGATGCCARCCAAAAATCTTATATCCAGCAAAATTAAGCTGGATATTAGCTGGATTTGATGATAAAATTAAAACTTTCCAAGAAGAACAAAAGTTAAAAGAATTTATAACTAGAAAGACTAAACTACAGAAAAATACTCAGCAAAATATTCCATGAGGAGGAAATAAAAAAGAATGATGAAAATCAGCAGAGGGAGGTACTATACTAAAAGAAAAACAATCAAAGAAGAAACCAAGTCAAGTTAAATATCAAAAATTTAAAAAAATAAGCGGGAATACAAATCATGTTTTAATAATAACCCTGAATATTAATGGCCTAAACTCATCAATCAAAACACATAGACTGGCAGATTGGATTTTTAAAAAGACTCAACAATATACTGCCTTCAAGAGACTCATCTCATAGAAAAAGACATCCACAGACTGAAGGTGAAAGGTTAGGAAAAAACATACCACTCATATGGACTACGGTAACAAGCAAGGGTTTCCATCTTCATATCAAATAAAGTAGACCTCAAGCAAAAGTTAATCAAAGGGATAAAGAAGGATATTACATACTGCTCAAAGGAACCATACACTAACAAGACATAACAAGAATAAATATATATGCCCCAAAGAATGGAGCATCTACATTCATCAAAGAAACTCTCCTCAAGTTCAAGAGTCAAAGCGACCACAACACTATAATTCTGGGTGACATTAACACACCTCTTTCACCAACAGAAAGATCATCCAAACAAATCTAAACAAAGAAACTGTAGAACTCAATAATACAATCAATAACTTAGACTTAACATACATATATAGAATATTTCATCCATCAACGAGTGAATACACTTTCTTCTCAGCAGCACATGGATCCTTCTCTAAAATAGATCATATATTATGCCACAAAGCAACTCCTAACAAATACAAAAAAGTAGAGATACTAACATGCATTCAATCAGATCATAATGGGATGAAATTAGAAATCAATGATAAGATAAAAAATAAAAGCTACTCCAACACCTGGAGACTAATGAACAATGGGTTACAAAAGACATCAAGGAGGAGATTAAGAGATTCTCAGAGGTGAATGGGAACACAGATAACAAYGCATCAAAATCTCTGGGACACTTTGAAAGTATTTAGTACTAAGAGGAAAGTTCATTGCATGGAGTTCATTCCTTAAAAGAAGAAAAAGTCAAAAAATAAATGATCTAACATTACATCTCAGAGCGCTAGAAAAAGAACAAATCAATACCAAAAGCAGTAGAAGACAGGAAATACT